CACCCTTGGAATGCTATTCTCACACCCTTGGAATGCTATCTCACACCCCTTGGAATGCTATCTCACACCCCTTGGAATGCTATCTCACACCCCTTGGAATGCTATCTCACACCCCTTGGAATGCTATCTCACACCCCTTGGAATGCTTTCTCACACCCCTTGGAATGCTATCTCACACCCCTTGGAATGCTATCTCACACCCCTTGGAATGCTATCTCACACACCCCTTGGAATGCTATCTCACACCCCTTGGAATGCTTTCTCACACCCCTTGGAATGCTATCTCACACCCTTGGAATGCTATCTCACACCCCTTGGAATGCTATCTCACACCCCTTGGAATGCTATCTCACACCCCTTGGAATGCTATCTCACACCCCTTGGAATGCTATCTCACACCCCTTGGAATGCTATCTCACACCCCTTGGAATGCTTTCTCACACCCCTTGGAATGCTTTCTCACACCCCTTGGAATGCTTCTCACACCCCTTGGAATGCTATCTCACACCCCTTGGAATGCTTTCTCACACCCCTTGGAATGCTATCTCACACCCCTTGGAATGCTTTCTCACACCCCTTGGAATGCTTTCTCACACCCCTTGGAATGCTATCTCACACCCCTTGGAATGCTATCTCACACCCCTTGGAATGCTATCTCACACCCCTTGGAATGCTATCTCACACCCCTTGGAATGCTATCTCACACCCCTTGGAATGCTATCTCACACCCCTTGGAATGCTTTCTCACACCCCTTGGAATGCTATCTCACACCCCTTGGAATGCTTTCTCACACCCCTTGGAATGCTATCTCACACCCCTTGGAATGCTATCTCACACCCCTTGGAATGCTTTCTCACACCCCTTGGAATGCTATCTCACACCCCTTGGAATGCTTTCTCACACCCCTTGGAATGCTATCTCACACCCCTTGGAATGCTATCTCACACCCCTTGGAATGCTATCTCACACCCCTTGGAATGCTATCTCACACCCCTTGGAATGCTTTCTCACACCCCTTGGAATGCTATCTCACACCCCTTGGAATGCTTCTCACACCCCTTGGAATGCTATCTCACACCCCTTGGAATGCTATCTCACACCCCTTGGAATGCTTCTCACACCCCTTGGAATGCTATCTCACACCCCTTGGAATGCTTTCTCACACCCCTTGGAATGCTATCTCACACCCCTTGGAATGCTATCTCACACCCCTTGGAATGCTATCTCACACCCCTTGGAATGCTATCTCACACCCCTTGGAATGCTTTCTCACACCCCTTGGAATGCTATCTCACACCCCTTGGAATGCTATCTCACACCCCTTGGAATGCTATCTCACACCCCTTGGAATGCTATCTCACACCCCTTGGAATGCTATCTCACACCCCTTGGAATGCTATCTCACACCCCTTGGAATGCTATCTCACACCCCTTGGAATGCTATCTCACACCCCTTGGAATGCTTCTCACACCCCTTGGAATGCTTTCTCACACCCTTGGAATGCTATCTCACACCCCTTGGAATGCTATCTCACACCCCTTGGAATGCTTTCTCACACCCCTTGGAATGCTATCTCACACCCCTTGGAATGCTATCTCACACCCCTTGGAATGCTATCTCACACCCCTTGGAATGCTATCTCACACCCCTTGGAATGCTATCTCACACCCCTTGGAATGCTATCTCACACCCCTTGGAATGCTTTCTCACACCCCTTGGAATGCTATCTCACACCCCTTGGAATGCTATCTCACACCCCTTGGAATGCTATCTCACACCCCTTGGAATGCTATCTCACACCCCTTGGAATGCTATTCTCACACCCCTTGGAATGCTATCTCACACCCCTTGGAATGCTATCTCACACCCCTTGGAATGCTATCTCACACCCCTTGGAATGCTATCTCACACCCCTTGGAATGCTATCTCACACCCCTTGGAATGCTATCTCACACCCCTTGGAATGCTATCTCACACCCCTTGGAATGCTTCTCACACCCCTTGGAATGCTATCTCACACCCCTTGGAATGCTATCTCACACCCCTTGGAATGCTATCTCACACCCCTTGGAATGCTATCTCACACCCCTTGGAATGCTATCTCACACCCCTTGGAATGCTATCTCACACCCCTTGGAATGCTATCTCACACCCCTTGGAATGCTATCTCACACCCCTTGGAATGCTATCTCACACCCTTGGAATGCTTCTCACACCCCTTGGAATGCTATCTCACACCCCTTGGAATGCTTTCTCACACCCCTTGGAATGCTATCTCACACCCCTTGGAATGCTATCTCACACCCCTTGGAATGCTTTCTCACACCCCTTGGAATGCTATCTCACACCCCTTGGAATGCTATCTCACACCCTTGGAATGCTTCTCACACCCCTTGGAATGCTATCTCACACCCCTTGGAATGCTTTCTCACACCCCTTGGAATGCTATCTCACACCCCTTGGAATGCTTTCTCACACCCCTTGGAATGCTATCTCACACCCCTTGGAATGCTATCTCACACCCCTTGGAATGCTATCTCACACCCCTTGGAATGCTATCTCACACCCCTTGGAATGCTTTCTCACACCCCTTGGAATGCTATCTCACACCCCTTGGAATGCTTTCTCACACCCCTTGGAATGCTATCTCACACCCCTTGGAATGCTATCTCACACCCCTTGGAATGCTTCTCACACCCCTTGGAATGCTATCTCACACCCCTTGGAATGCTTTCTCACACCCCTTGGAATGCTTCTCACACCCCTTGGAATGCTATCTCACACCCCTTGGAATGCTATCTCACACCCCTTGGAATGCTATCTCACACCCCTTGGAATGCTATCTCACACCCCTTGGAATGCTATCTCACACCCCTTGGAATGCTATCTCACACCCCTTGGAATGCTTTCTCACACCCCTTGGAATGCTTTCTCACACCCCTTGGAATGCTATCTCACACCCCTTGGAATGCTATCTCACACCCCTTGGAATGCTATCTCACACCCCTTGGAATGCTATCTCACACCCCTTGGAATGCTTCTCACACCCTTGGAATGCTATCTCACACCCCTTGGAATGCTATCTCACACCCTTGGAATGCTATCTCACACCCCTTGGAATGCTATCTCACACCCCTTGGAATGCTTTCTCACACCCCTTGGAATGCTTTCTCACACCCCTTGGAATGCTATCTCACACCCCTTGGAATGCTATCTCACACCCCTTGGAATGCTATCTCACACCCCTTGGAATGCTATCTCACACCCCTTGGAATGCTTTCTCACACCCCTTGGAATGCTATCTCACACCCCTTGGAATGCTTTCTCACACCCCTTGGAATGCTATCTCACACCCCTTGGAATGCTATCTCACACCCCTTGGAATGCTTTCTCACACCCCTTGGAATGCTATCTCACACCCCTTGGAATGCTATCTCACACCCCTTGGAATGCTATCTCACACCCCTTGGAATGCTATCTCACACCCCTTGGAATGCTTTCTCACACCCCTTGGAATGCTATCTCACACCCTTGGAATGCTATCTCACACCCCTTGGAATGCTATCTCACACCCCTTGGAATGCTATCTCACACCCCTTGGAATGCTATCTCACACCCCTTGGAATGCTATCTCACACCCCTGGTTGGGAAACCCTGATGTAGAGGATATCTGGGTTACCGTACAAAGCAATGTGCTTCCGCCATTCATTGAAGGCGCAGCCTATATGCATCCTTATTATTGCTCCGAATCTTTTGCTAATCTTGAAAAAGGTTTTAGAGAAATGTTACTGAAAAAGAAGTCTTTTCATCGTGGATTCTGTATAAGGTGATTTAAACAAGCCCAATTTAAAGTAAATTAGGAAAATAGGGAAAACAAATTTAAGCAAATGTGCAACACTAGCCAACTTTGACCTCAAGTCACTATGCAAACAAATGATAACCAAAGAATAAACTTGGACATTTTCCACACAAATGATGTAAACAATCAAGTAAATGTCCTCACGGAGGTGATTAATGACAGCATAAATGCCTCGTTCCCTTTGTTACGAAAATGTTAGACGTCCTGCTTCATGACAGATACAAATAACACTCATAAGGCTCTCAAAATTATACATTTGAGATGGCCTTTCAGACAGATTATAGACAAAAGAAGAGACATGTTAAATCATTGATACAAGAGGCCAAAACCTATTATTTCTGAAATAAATTAATTGTTAAATACACAGACATTAATCACGTGACAAGAAAAAAAATCACATTCATTCAGGTTTCAGAATTAGCAAGAAATACTTTAATTTCTTTGCTAAAATTGGAAATCTGGATCATGAATAAACAAGTTTCCACATCTTACCAAAATACTGGGAGGCCTCTCAGCCAATATTTTCAGAGAACCCCCCCCCCAAAAAAAAAAAAGGAAACAAATCCTTCCAATAAAACACCTGCGTGAAACTAATGCTGTGGTATCAGAAGACATTGCTTTCGCGTTATCAGACAGTCTGCTGCAATGGCATATTATCTTACTTTATCATTAATACATTTATAGTCACTGGTGACTTCCCATCGCTTTGGGAACATGGCACTATAATAATAGTTTTCAAAAACAAATAAACTTGCTTGCAGTCTATCCAAGATTTTAGATAGTGTCAAGATAAACTGATATATAGCAACATCGATGCATATTGGTTCAGAGTTTATTTAACTAATAGAATCCAATCAGTGAAAATTCGTAAGTATATCAAGAAATCAGATTGTATATTTCGGTGTTCCACAAGGATCCATATTAGGTCCAGTCCTGTTCCCAATCTTCGCAAGTGATCTATCAACCGTTGCCTAAATTGCCTCCATAGTGATAAAAGAGACCCAAGAGACATTGATACAGGTATAAGGATACGTTGACATAAATTACAACAAAATGAAATCCATATAAAACACACTGTAACTTCATAATCAGTCGCCAAAACATTGCCAAAATCCCTGTAAACAATACCATAAAATCTGAAGACTGCTACTCAAGACCGAGTACTACTGAGAAAAATCTAGGAGTACCCATTTAAGACCCATGTCGACAGCATATATGGAAAAGTAATGGGCACTTTAATCTACCAAAGCCACAATAAATAAAACTCAATTATACGAACATTAACTCTTCGTATCATTAGCTATTGCTGAATCGCATGGGGCTCAACAAATGAAAGTCAAATTCAGAAAAAATACAAATAAAGATGTAAAACTTTACTGTGAGAGTAGCACTTGGTAACATAAATAAGTTTAACCACTTTATCTCACTCACAAATTAAGTTGCCTATTAGTACAATACAAATACAAAAGGAAGAAGTGTGATAGTGCAAATGTGTCTTTCAGAGTGGGAGTAAGATAATCAAGGATGCTATTCATGGGCACATTGAGATTCCTGCCCTCTGTGTCCGAATCATGGACACGCCGCAGTTCCAGAGACTCAGGTAACGTTACAGGGTATGGAAGCCAAATGAGTTCACTGTTTACATTTGAAATCTGTGTAATTCTAATTGATTACATATTAATCATTAGTTATTAATCAGGAAATATAACTCAAAATTACTTGATAATTTCAGGTTTCTGAAGCAGCTTGGCACGGCCTCCTTCGTGTATCCTGCGGCGTCTCACAACCGTTTCGAACACTGCTTAGGGTAAGTTCGAACACCGTCTTGTGAACCGGTTTCATTAGTTACTGAACCATTGAAATAATGAGAAAGCCCACATGTCACGTCAAGTGCAGCAGTTACACGTACGATGTTTTAGATAATGAAAACAATAATAATTAAAAAATACTTGAATATCATGTATCACGAGAGCATGAAAATAAATCATAGCTTGCGAAGCAAAGTCAGAGTTGGAGCAAAAACTATGGACGTATTGATACAATCGTATGTATCTTTTATAAATTAAAATTTCAATTCAATTTGAAGAGGGAAATGCGCGACATAAATATTGTATATAATAATATTGCTTTCTGTCAAAAAAGTCTATCACGTATATTGCTACCGAGTGGCTAAATTTTGTTTACACAAGACAGAAGCGGATTTCAAAGAAACTTACGGGAAAACACTGACACTGAATATCATCATGTAAATTTACAGTATCTGCCAAAAAAATTGGTCATTCGAATATATATAGCGAAAGATATGCGACACACAGCAGCCTAAAAAGATTAAGGTGAATCGAGCTTTGAATAGGACGATCCTGTCATTTGATATCATAAAGTAAATTTTGTGCAGGACATGTTATCTGGCGGGGAAGATGGTGGAAGCCCTTCGCAGCCGACAGGCGGATCTCGGGATAACTGAGAAGGACGTTTTGTGCGTCCAGATCGCGGGCCTCTGCCACGACCTCGGCCACGGCGCCTTCAGTCACGTCTTCGAAACGTTCATGAAGGAATCCAAGAAAAGCTTCAAAGTTGGTTTCATGTTCATGGAGGAATCCAAGAAAAGCTTCGATGGTTGCAGAGTTTATGAGAAGTCATTTATTCCCTATAAAAGATACATATGTAAAAAAAAAAAAAAAAAAAAAAAAAAAAAAAATATATATATATATATACATATATATATATATATATATATATATATATATATATATATATATATATATATATATATAGTGTTCCCTCTTCCCTGTAAGTAAGCTGTATAATTATGTCTTTTTTTTAAGCATGAAAAGATGTCCTGTCGGATGTTCGACGATATCATGAAGAATTTTGGAGCAGAAGGGCTAGATGAGGAAGACGTTCAGTTTATCAAGGATCTCATCCTTGGAAAAAAGCCTTCACAGGAGAACGGGAGACCAGCAGAAAAAGCTTTCCTTTTTGAGGTAGGCCGCGCTTTATGTTTGTTGATATTATCATCATTGCTATGATTTTCTCAGCCAGTCAACTTTAGGAAGAAAGAAATCGATGGCGTGCACCAACTTTATTGCAATAACCGCAGTTGTCAGCAGCTTAACTAGCACTAACTCTCGCCGTCAGATTGTGAACAACAAGAGGACGGGCGTCGACGTGGACAAGTGGGACTACATCCTCAGGGACTGCCACGGCCTCGGTCTCAACGTGAGTGGCGGTGGCGGGCGGCGACCGGCGAAGGGCCTCGCTACCAGGCGCAGTGCTCAGTGTCAACTATTCTGAGCGAGTTGTTCTTAACAATTTTCTTATATTGTTGAGAAAATGAAATGAAAGATTGGAATAAGCACAATTACAAATGTAACTTTTCCAACTCTTGAGCAAAGGGATAGAAGGGGTCTGAGCGTACTCGAGCTAGGACCAGGGTGAAACAAGGTCGCAGGGAAAGGTCCGAGAGGAAAGTCGGGTCACGACCGTCCTTTGCCCTCAGGTGACCTTCGAGTACGAGCGGCTGATTCACTTCTCTAAGGTTGCCAAAGTCGAGGACGAGTGGCAGATCGTCTTCAAGGAGGCAGAGGCCGAGAACCTGTACGAGATGAACCACGCCAGGATGCTGCTGCACAAGAAGGCCTACCAGCATCGCGTTGTCAAGATCATCGACCGAATGTGAGCTGAACGTCTCGTGTTTCCTTGACTGACTGGAGAGACGTAGATGTCTTGTGGATGTTATATAGTCAATAGCGAGATTTGAAGTTGTAAGCTCTCTTTAGTCTTTTAGGGAAGAGAAGTTTAATTGATTTAGCACAACTTTTTTGTTTGTCTTTCCAGTTTGTGACTGGTAGGTCGCATGAATATAGTCCATATGCTAAATCTCGCCATATATATTTTCCCTATTTCTGGTGTTGGTGAACCATTTCCGGTCTTCGTTGGCAACCACTCCTAACAGATTCGGCTCGAGGGTCCGGGGGTCAGTGTTTATGCAGGGCGTTTCGCAGTCGGCTACTTTGGCATTACTTCTTGATATTTATTTGCATTATTTTTCACGGAATCACTTTCAGGCCGCCTTGTTTATGAACCAGCGCTAGAGGATTGGCCATATATATATATATATATATATATATATATATATATATATATATATATATATATATATATATATATATATATATTATGTATCTTCGCACGCGGGAAATATCTTTATTTAACCATTATTTAACCAATCGGTCATAACAATTAAGTTTGTCGAAAATTTCGATATTTGCTTGAGTTTTGAGCAGAGGTCAGTCGACGGAGGAGAGGCACTGGTTTGGGGTCGAAAGCCTGTGTAGGTCACCGCCAATCGCTCGTTTACACCTGCATTGACGCGCAATTGATAAGGCCAACGACTTCCTTTGACATTATGGTCGTAGTGGAACTTGGAACTTGCTTGTGGATGTTACCTATTAATGGAAATATATATATTTTTAGCCGATATATTTTTTGTCAAACTTTTTCGTTACATACATCGTCGCATTATCTTTTGCCATAATATGATTTAATTTTGTTGGTGATCCATGATATCAACTGGATCCCAAACCGATTTATAAAATTGGTTATATTTAGCATGTGGATCAATGTTGCCCACGTTGATAATGATGAAGACAACAATTAGAATAACCAAACATGGGGATATGACAATGATAGTATAAGCTTCATTTTCAGGTTGGTGGACGCTCTTCTGAAGGCTGACGAGTTTGTGAGATACACGGGTGAAAATGGAAGAAGGTTTGTGCTCTTACGGTTGTTGGAAATTACGAGGGAATGAGACGCACGCAAGTGGTTTGATATTCATATACAAGGCATCTCTCTCTTTCTCTCTCTGACTCTTTCCCTCTTTCCCTCTCTCCCTCTCCCACTCCCTCTCTTTCTCTTTGCATTCTCTCTCCCTCTCTTTCTCTCTGCATCTCTCTCCCTCTCTCTCTTCCTTTCTCTCCCCCCCCTCCCTCGCCCACCCGCTTTCTCTCTCTCTTCTCTCTCTCTCTCTCTCTCTCCCTTTTTCTCCCCCCCCACTCTCTCTCTTTTTCTCCCACCACCCATTCTCTCTCTTGACCTCTGTCTCTGACTCTTTCCCTCTCTCCCTCTAATTCTCCCTATCTTTCTCTCTGTCTCTCTCTCTCCCTTTTCTGTATATATATATATATATATATATATATATTATATATATATATATATATATATATATATATACATGGATATCTATCTCTCTATACATGCATATTCATAGGTAGATAGCTAGACCGACACATAGCTAGACAGATACACACACATACAGATATATAGATAGATAGACATATAGATAGATAGATAGATAGAGAGAGAGAGAGAGAGAGAGAGAGAGAGAGAGAGAGAGAGAGAGAGAGAGAGAGAGAGAGAGAGAGAGAGAGAGAAAGAAAGAGAGTCAGAGTAAGAGAGAGAGAGAGAGAGAGAGAGAGAGAGAGAGAGAGAGAGAGAGAGAGAGAGAGAGAGAGAGAGAGAGAGAGAGAGAGAGAGAGAGAGACAGACAGACAGACAGACAGACAGACAGACAGAGAGACAGAGAGAGAAAGAGAACGTCTAATTCGCGGCTGGGCCTCCTTCCTTAGCCTCAAGCTGAGCGAAGTGTGCACCGACCCGGTGGCCTACACTCACCTCACCGATGACGTCATACACCGGATCCTGCGGAGGAAGGACTCGGATCTCGTAGAAGCCAAGGAGATCCTGAATAACATTCTGACGAGGAAAATATACACCTACGTCGACGAGGTGAAGGAGATCACGGAAAAAGAGGTGAAGTTTACGAGACCCGATTCAATTAATAAACTTGATACGGACTTACATATACACAGAGATAAATACATTTCTAACAGTCTAGACATGCATATCTATTGGATAGATGATTAGATATATAGACAGATGTGTATTTATTTCTGTGTTTCTGCATGTCCGTCTACACGAATATTAATTAGGTCGAACCTGGCATAATCTTAAAGACATCCCATCGCCCTTCCTCCCAACAAAAAGAAAATAAGAAAAAAGTTCACATTTTTTCGACTTTTAGTAATGATTTTTGGTTATTTCTGTAGCGCTGATATTAGCAAGGACCCTAACGGGT